TGGTGCTGGCTTTCATTATGGTCACTGATTTTCACTCTCAGTCATGTGTCCTGGACCTTGTAACTTTTCGATATGAGCCAACACTCTAATGCAGCGAAAGAAACATGTAGAATATACTCTATCTGAGTTGCAAGCTAACAGCAGGTGGATTTAAACCTTTAAGGGTATGTTTGGTTTGAGGTTAATGGAGGGGAGGGGGGGAATTTCTCCCCTCTCATCATCTGGTTAATTTTTGGATGTTTAATTCCCCCCTTCTTCCCTCTAATTTGATGATTTCTATACCTTTAATTTATGGTGCTAAAACCCTTACCCCTTCAACGACAACGTGACAAGGTATCGCAAAGAAAAAAAACATCCACTCTCTTGAACCAAACACACCCTGAGGTGACAAGCAATACTGAGTTGTACGTCAACCAAACACACCCTTTGCCTTTTTTGAGACAAGACAATTTTTTGAGGGCCCATAAAAATTCAATAATGGGGTCTAGTACTCTAGTTGTCATGCACATATGATGTCCTTGATTGAATAAAATTTGTAGGGGCAGCATGCATCAAGTAATGTCAAGTATGACTGAATCCTCGTATCTTCTTTTTCTCCATTCATTTCTTATGTAAAGAATATGAACTGTTGTTCAGGTGTGAGAATGACTGTCTACCAAGTATAGACTGGGTTCTTAAACTAGCAAAAGCAGCAGTTCTCAGACATGGTGTGAATGGTCTTGTAATTGATCCATATAATGAGCTTGATCATCAACGTCTTCAGATCCAGTGAGTTGCTTCTAAACCCCCTCTTCAGGGGATATTAATATTCATTGCCTTTATACTCTTCTCTCAAATACTGTCATGTTAGAGTAAGGATTGAATATTCTATAGGACTGAAACAGAGTATGTAAGTCAGATGCTAACAAAGGTCAAGCGGTTCGCACAACATCATTCTTGTCACGTTTGGTTTGTAGCACATCCACGTCAGGTCCGTAGTTTGTACTCTGTCCCTATTATATAGTATTGCTACACTCGATGACAGTTCTGTCGCTTGACTGCAGCTTTTAAGTAACCGCTCTACATGTGTTAACAGTTGCAGCAGTGGTCTGGAGGCCCTCCAAACTTATATGATATCAGTGGAAGTGCACATTTCATAAACAAATGTGATAATGGAATTGTTATTCATCGCAATAGGGATCCTGAGGCTGGTCCTCTGGACCTAGTGCAGGTGAATGTTATATTTGTAAGAGCTATTTTTCTTCAACTTTTGAAATTGAAAATCTGAGTTGCCAACCATTCAACTTCAGGTTTGTGTAAGGAAGGTACGGAACAAGGTTATTGGAACTATTGGGGAAGCCATTTTGTCATACAGCAGGTATTTTGATGTATTATTTAGTGAGATTTTCATTGTTTTGCATTGAAGCTTGCTGTCCCATGTAGTGCACTTTTGAGCAATTGTCCTTATTCATAACCAATTAACATGGTCATGTCTGATGTTTATATAAAGGGAAAACTGTCAAATAAGTCTTGTACTATATCAAAAATGTCAATTGAGCCCTCATACTGAATATTCACTCAATCAAACCCGCAAACTTGTTTAAATCACCCAAATATGCTTTTTAGCCGGTTCATAACCAGTTTGGAGTTAAAATGCTTGCATAGCTACTGACGTGGCAGAAAATAATCTTTCTGGCTGAGTATTATTTTCGTCGTTTTTTCCCTTTCTTTTCCTTTCTTTCTTGCCTCTTTCTGGTCAACTAAAAAACCCGTCACCTTCATGGCCTCCTGGTTCTTCTGTTCTTCCATCCACAGTCCAAAAATAGGCTTCGTTTTCTTTATTTTTTTTATTTTCTCCTCTCTCTTTTACTATCCATCCCACTACAGCCACCCACCTTTTCTCTCTACTTCAACTTTCCTCCTCTTTATTCTTTTCTTTTGTGTCATAACTCCATTTGGTCAAACTAAAGCTGACTTGATATCGGGTTCATTCAAAATAAATGTTTGGGACTGTATATGATTTGAAGGAGGCTAATTCTGAGTTTTATTTCGGTCAAAGCTTGGGTTGATAGCTTCAGTTTAGGATCACAGTCCTTTTTTTATCTAAAAGATTGAAGACTCCCTGATTGTTGGTAGCATTTGTGAAATATATTTAGTTTTTGTGCAATAGTGCAATTTGTACATTTATTTTCCTTCTGTCAAATATACTTTATATTTGTTGACTCCATCACAACTATTTGCATTTTCCAGGCTTACTGGTGAATTTATGGACAGTGATGAGCAACTCCTAAAGAAACAAAAGAACTCGTTCAAATAAGTTGCAAATGTTGTGTGCTTGCAGGACTGCATTTCTTGTGAATATGGTATTTGGCATGTGTTGGATCTGGTGGAAAGCTGTCGCTAACATAGAGTAAATCAGCCAAAAAAAGAAAAAGGCTGTACATTGTTAAGTCATTGAAGATGTACTCTTGAATGTGCTTTTATTTTTGTATTGTCCTCTCTTCTGACTGTAATTTTGAGTGGCCTCTTGCAATTTCGTATTTAGTTGATGTTGCTATAACTAATAGTAGCAGATGCTGTGCCAATCTTTTTTAGGCCATGGTTGTACAGAGTATGTATCCATAATACACTACTTAGTTGCTAGTGGTCTTTTACTGAACGAGAGGGTTATGACTTGTGACTTGTGAGTTGTAAGTTGTGACTGCATTGTCAATCTGTCTTGTAATTCATTACTCCTTTTGACAAGGCTCAAGATACTGAGTTAGAGAAATACTGTTTTCATCCTCGGGTTGTACACATGGAATGTCAATTACTGTGTTTCATTTGTTTGTCAATTTGGTTATCTCTGATCACATTGCTTAAAAACAGTACTCATACGTTCATCCTGTATACCTTAGTCAATTTTCTTTTACTTGGTGTGTTAAAAACTTTGTCATTGCCCCTCCTTTCAAATTTCTAATTCTTATTGTTATCAGAATTGAAACTAGAATAGTAATAAGAAGAGAATGATTTTTTGTGTATTTCATTGGAAGACTAAAGATACGTGATGACTATATATATATATATATATATACATTACAAATTTACAAAGATAGAATATTCCTATAAGATTCTATACAATAATAATATCTTAGAGTATATTCTAAAGTACATTTTAATATTTTTCACACTGGCACATCCCCCTCAAGTTGGAGCATATTTATCAGGAGATTTTTACTTGGACTATTTTCAAATTTCAATCTTATATCAGACCAGACTAGATTTGGGTTGTTATAAAATACATAGACCCGGCATTTATCAAACTAGTTTAGACTAGATCAGACTTACAAATTTAAGTCCAAGTAAAAACATTCACATGCCCAACTTGTTACATTAATAACGGGAAAACTGTCAAATATGTCTTCGAACTTTCATAAAAAGGTCAAATTAGTCCTTATATAGGAGGCTCTATCCGGCCGTCTTGATTTGAAGTGGTTTCCGGTGGAATTTTTTGATGAACATTTTCTAGCCTCTTATTCATCAAGTCTAGTTTACTCATACCAAATTTCAGCTAAAACTTCATTCTAGAACGCATTTAAATTAATTCTTGAAGATAACTGCGCATTTAATTACATAGTTATCTTCAAGAATTAATTTGAATGCGTTCCCGATTGAAGTTTTAGCTAAAATTTAGTATGAGTAAACTAGACTTGATGAATAAGATGCTCAAAAAAATTCATTAAAAAAATTCCACCGGGAACCGCCCCAAATCGCGACGGCCGGACAGAGCCTCCTATATAAGGACTTATTTGACCTTTTTATGAAAGTTCGAAGACCTATTTGACAGTTTTTCCCATTAATAACCAACACTAATTCTTGAACTTATTCTATTGAACAAATCTGCAGGTTGTTCTTGAGTCTTCGTATTTCTTGTAGAGATAAATTATATTCGTATATTTTCTCGATAAAGTGACAATTGACTAGGACGGACTGGGATCGGGACCAAATATTTCAGGCCTGGTACCAGCTCGGGTTTGTACCGGGACCGCCGGATCGGGGCGGACCGGGCCTAAACAGTACCGGGTCGGGACCGAGATGGGTATATGTATAAAAAAAAACAGTGTGTGTGTGTGTTTCTCGAGTACTAATTCAGAAAAGTAAGAAGCAAAATGTAGTTTCTCGAGCACTAATTCAGAATATTGTGCAATGGCACAATCAGCATGTGAAATAATCTTGATAAATCAATCCTGCTAAATTGTGGTGTGATAACCAAGCTGCTATACACATTGTCAACAATATAGTGTTTCATGAGCCAACAAAACACATTATGGTCAATTGTAGGGATGGACAAGGACGGGTCAGCCCGACCCAGGCCTGACCCGACCTCGGCCAGTCTCGTGACTATTTAGACCCGGCCCGATCCTGTTTAGGCCAGAGGCCGGCATGGTCCCGGCCCGATGACTATGAGGGCGGGCTTCAGGCTTGTTTTTTAGGCTTGGCTTAGCCGATCCCGAACCCGATTGCACTATTTTTTTTATAAAAAAAAAGGAAGATGAGAATATCACCAACAAAGACGCAATAACTAGTTGTAATTCTTCAAAGATAAGTCTTGATCTGCCGCCTTCCACGACCTCTCTACCACTCTTGAGAGTGTATCCAAGACTGCGATGAGAGGCCCCTCAATATAGGGCCTCTGCAAGTGTCGGGGATGGAGCCTCACTCTCTATCTGTCAGATTGTGATTGTAGTCCAATTCACATCCTCTCATTGTGCCGTCCAGTCAGTGTTGGGGACCCTCAGAGATGGGGTGTCATTTTTTTTTTTGAAAGTGTATCCAAGAAAGTCGTGTTTTATATATGAATTCTCAAGAAAAAAATTAAAAGGTTTGAAGAGTAAACAAATGCAATTTGAAAACCAAGAACGATGATATATGGTTTCGAGTTTACGATAGAGTTATATTAATAATTTAATATTATATTAATGACAAAATGGCAGGCGTATAACTATCTAACTTTTCATTTCCAAAAATATAGCAAGTTTGACTTTTCCCACAAAAGTGACCCGCATCCAGCTTTTCTCTCAAACCCTATTGCGGCATCCATTAGTTCTCCTTCCCTATTGCACCACCCATCGTTTCTCCTTCACAGCTCTCCATCTGTCGCCGACCCACACCTCGCCGCTCCGCAGCACTCCAGCCACCAACGCTCCGACGCTCCACCGCACTCCAGTCGCCTCCCCGCCGCTCCACCTCACTCCAGCCGCCTCCCCGCCGCCTTCCTTCTCCTTCCTTATGGTCTCCGTTTCTGATCCGCTGGCATCCGACATCACCACCTCTATCGCCGCTTCTGCCGGCCTCCAGCCTGCCGCTCGGTTCTATTCTTCTTCATCTTCTCGTTTTTTCAGATCTGAGGTGAAAGGAGCGGCTGGAGTTACGAAGGTGGTGAACGACGGCTAGGGGTGCGATGGTGGTGATGGGCTGGAGCTGACATCTATTGGCTGGGGCTGAGATCTCTTGGCTGAGGCTGAGATTTATGCTGGTGTTGATGGGTTGGAGGTTGGGGGAGTGATAGATTTTGGGGTTTGGGGATGAACGTTTGTGGGTGATTGGTGCTGAACGGTAAGGATGAGTTTGCAGGGTAAGAGAGACAGGGGGATAGGGGTAATGGGCAATCTAGCTAAGGAGATGGTAGTTGGTGGTTCCGGTTGGATGGCCGCCGGAAAATTATCTGGCGTAATGGAGGGCGACAGTGACTAGCCGGGGACGGCGGTCACTGGCCGGGAGCGGCAACAGTCACTGGCCGGGGCGACGGCAGTGACTGGTCGGGGGTGGCAGAGTAACTCTTACGGTGGAGTCACTGTAGCGGTGGAGTCACTGTGACCGGAGTCACAATGGCAGTGGAGTCACTAACTCACTATGGCGGCGGAGTCACTGTGGTCGGAGTCACTTTGGCCGGAGTCACTTTGTTCGGAGTCACTGAGATAGTGACTGCTTGTGGCGGCGGCGGTGCTGGTGGCGGCGGCGGCGGCAGAGGTGGTGCTGGGTTCTGGAGGTGCTGGTGGCTACCAAAGATGACTATTAATCAAATGTGTAAAAGGAATATTAAAATAATAAATATATGATTAAAAATAAGGAATAAATGACTTTTAGTCACATTTTTTGAAAAACTTAAAACATGCCACTTTTTTTTATCTTTTTCATTCATTTTAGTAATATTGGAATAAAAAGGCCTATATTAATTCCACTCTAAAGAGCCCCAATGGAGGGTAAATTATACTTCCTCCGTTCCAAAAGGTTGGCTAAAGTTGACTTTCACGTGAATTAATAAAGTAAAAAGTGTGAATTAAAAAATGTGATCCAAGCAATGCCTACGTATGCAATGAATGTATTTCTATTGCCTCGGGAACTTTGTGAGGAGATTGAAAGATTGATGAACGGGTATTGGTGGCGAGGGACCAAATTAGATCAAAGGGGTTTGCGGTGGAGGAAGTGGGAAAGTCTGTGCAGGCCAAAGAAAGCAGGGGGGTTGGGATTCCGACGGGTACGAGATTTTAATTTAGCCATGCTAGCGAAACAAGCTTGGAGACTTATTACGGATACAGGAAGCTTGGTGAGTAGGGTGTTTAAAGCACGGTATTATCCGGGGTCCTCATTTTTGGGGGCACAGATGGGTAATAACCCTTCTTATATTTGACGTAGTATTATGGCGACCCAACCGACTATGAAGGTGAACTTGAGAAGGAGAGTGGGTAATGGAAGGGATACACAGGTCTGGGCAGACAGGTGGCTTCCGGGTACGGACTCGGGATTGGTGCAGTCACACAGACTGAATGGAGTGCTTGATATGAATGTAGCATCGCTACGGGATGAGGAAGGGAAGGCTTGGAATGTGAGAAGGGTTGAGGCTCTTTTCTCGCAGAAGGAGTGTAAGAAAATCCTTAGCATTCCGATTAGCTCACACGATAGAGCTGACGGTGTGTGGTGGGTGGGTGAAAGTAGTGGTTTATTTTCAGCGAAAAGCTGCTACAAATTGCTTGTTGGAAACATCACAACTATAAATTGGAATGGCTGGACAAAAATGTGGTCATTCCGAGTACCGTCTAAGTTAAAGTATATGTTCTGGCAACTTATGGATGGTTCACTACCTACTTTGAGCAATCTTAATAGACGAGGGGTGCAAGTTCCAGTGACATGCAGGTTATGCGGTGAAGAAGGGGAATCAACGGAGCATGCATTTTGGCAATGTCCATATGTACAGGAAGTGTGGCAGTTGGCTGGGCCTGGTTTTTGCTCACCAGCGGATAGTTTTGAGGGCTGGGTGAAAGCTATTTTAGATGGGCCAAACGAAGAAAGTTGCTGCAGGTTTGTAACTATCACATGGGCTCTATGGAAACGACGGAATAAGGTAGTGTGGAACGAGGAAATACAGGATGTTGTTGCTGTAATAAGAGCTGCGGACAACATGCTCAAATCATGGGGGGAAGTCCAAGCAGTCCATACGGGTGCAAATAAAGGGAATGGGAAAATGAGTAATTGTTGGAAGAAACCACAGGAGGGTTATATTAAAATTAATATTGATGCAGCAGTAAATGATACAGGGGTGTTAAGACCCGGGGTTCCATCCTAAAAGGTCAACCTGTTAGGAGGAGTAGCCCGTGTGTTAATATAGCACTTCGTTCATCCAAACTTTTCCGGTGTGGGACATTTAACAAGGGGGTATTAGGGCGTGGAGCTGGGTTGCCCGTGACGATCAAGGTAATTTCATTAAAGCTTGCAACGAGTCAAAGCGAGTTGATTGGAGCCCGACTGAAACGGAGGCAATGGGAATTAGGGAGGCCATGGCAGCTGCTGTCCGGGAAGGTTGGGAATGCGTTGAGTTCGAGTCCGATGCCCTAGTAGTGGTGCAAGGAGTGCGGGGCGAGAAAGGGCTCTCCTATCTTGACTTGTTAATTGATGATATACGAGGTGTTGTGAAAACAAAGAGAAATTTTAGTCTCTCTTTTTGCCATCGGTCCGCGAACCGCGTTGCTCATGTTTTGGCAAGGCAAGGCAAGGCGTGTTACTACCGGATCAAAAAAATGTTTATGATTTTAGTCCTGATTGTATTATGAGCCATGTGGCTAACGATTTGATTAATTAATGTGGAGATGTTGTTTTTCTGCCAAAATAAAAAAAAAAAAAAAATAAAGTAAAAACTGTGTGATTGAAATTTGTAGGGGTGGGCATAAAACCCGAACCGAACCGGTACCGAACCGGCCCGTAATGGTACCGAGCCGAATATCGGGTATTTAAACGGTTCTATAGATTTTTATCCCAAACCGAAACCGTACCATTTGAAACGGGTACGGGACCGGTCCTAGATTTTGAGAACCGAAAAATACTGGACCAACAATTTTATACCCAAGTATGTATTCATGTGTCCCTAAAATAGCTAAATGTGTGTGTGTTATATTTTGGTATATATCATGTTTGCTCAATTTTAGAACTTAATTAATATGGTATAAATCTTATCTCTCATGTCCAATTATAAATTAGAACTAATATTTAACCAAGAACAAAGAAGAACGATGAATTTTTCTATTATATTCAACAATTTTATGATATTCTTTTTATATTTTCACATGAACTTAGTAAATTTAAGATGATATTTATCTCATGTTTCATCTTTTGCTATACTTTTTCTTAGCTAGGTTGCACTATTTGTGTGTTTGTGAATATTAGTACTACGTATGCAATTTCTTGTATTTATATCGAAATTTCATGTGAGTTGGTTGGTGTTATGATAAATCTACTAATTGCAAGATTTGTCCAATTTTTTTAGCATGTGTTTGGCATTGTACCGTACCACTTTGTACCGTTCCGAATAGGGCTGTTAACGAGCCGAGCTTAGCCCGAACATCTAAAGCTCGAGTTTGGCTCGATAAGGAATTAATGGTGTTCGGGTTCGAGCTCAAAGCTCGGCGAGCTTTACAATTGAGGCTCGTGTTCGGCTCGATAGGCGTTCGATGTTCGAATCGAGCGCTCGATAAGCTCGATAAATATGGTAGAATTTAAAATTTTAAGTGATGCTCGTTAATAGGCTCGTGCTCGAATGATTCGACAAGTATTTGGTTTGTTAATAAACATATTTAAATTCATAAAATCATATTAATTATATTTACTTTTTTATTACTAGTATCTTTACCCGTGCTGTGCACGGGATAAAATACTTTTTTTTTGTTTTAATAATGGAAAATCACTTATTTAACCAATTATAACATTAGTTTGTAATGCATATTTTAATTTATGGAGTATGTCTTAAATTATATGTGAACTAAACATCCAGGCATGTTTCGAATCTATATTTTCCCATGAAAGGAGCAATTTTTTTATAACTCTCAGATCCATTCATATGAAACTAATCTATCTTTACCTAAACAACAAACAATGCTTAATGCCTATTTTTATCCATTAAATTCAATTTGTGGCTTAATGTTTGTTTTTTCAAATCTAACTACACATTTTTGTAATTTATTTATCTAAAAATGGGTGTAGTCAATTTTTTTGTTGATATTACTTCTATGTTTTAGAACATTTTAAATTAGTCATTTGATCACTTTCTTTAATAAATATTTTAGAATATATAGTTTTTTGACATTTCGATTTTAATGAAGGTGATGACGCAGGGGCGGATCCAGAAAGTCTAATTAATGGGGGCACTTATAAAGAGAAAATGAAAAATTCAAATAATTTTAAATTAACTTCAAAATTTGAAGTTAACCATTATTAGCAAAATGAAAAAATAGTACGGAGTAGTATTACGGAGTACACTTTACATAATTGCTCTCTTCAAGTTTTCATTTTTTAAAAGGGGAAAATAAATAAAATACCCTAAATTTTGAAGGAGTGTGAGATAAATATCCCAAATAAACTTTCATATGTAATTTAAACACTCCAAACTTTATATAAAAAGTTATTTTAGCACCATGACCATATATTATTTTTACAAAAAAAAAGAAATTTAAGGTGGTAATTGCATAATTTAAAATAGAAATATTAAAATGTTGCACATATATAGAGTGGAAGTAGTATTTTTTATTTTACAACGGAAGTTTAGAATGTTAATTGTACCTTCATGAATGCTAAAATATTTTAAATTATAAAATCATCACCAATAATTAAAATTGGTGAAAGAAGTAATACATAACCATGGTGCTAAAATAACTTTTTATAAAACGTTTGTGGTATTTAAATTTACATATGCCAATTTGGGGTGCTTATCTCACACTCCCTCATATTTGAGGTATTAATTATTTTTCCCTTTTTAAAATGGTCTTTCACAATTTCGTTAATAACAATTCCATTGCGTATAGTAGTCTTTATAATGTTCCTTGAATAAAAATATCTTTCAACTATTGCACAAAAAAAAATCTTTTAACTATGTCAATTGTAACAAACCAAATAAATGGTATGTGATTTTTATAACGGAGTCCCAAGGAAGTGTATAAAAAGCTGGATATCAATTTCCTCAAACACAGCCACTAAGCCCCTTAAGCCATTGAGCTTTCTCCACCATTAGTGGTATCATGAGATAAAAGTATTTTTATATTATATAGTATCTTAGTACCATTGTTAATTTGATCTATCTAAATTTATTATGACAATAAGTAAAGTGAACACTGGGTTTTGACCATTAAAATAAGATGCTCAAAAATAAAAATGGGTGAAATGGGTGAATTGATTAAATGCTAAAATGGGGTATATTGGGAATTTTAGATAAAAGGGATTTTTTTAAGTCTAAATTAGTCTTCAGGGCATGCTTGCATGGATTGCTTTGATTTGAGAAGTAGTTGGCTTTGCTTCAGTGTAAGACACGACTAATGGAGAATTGCCATTTTTCTATATGGGGCACCATATATACAATTAATAAAGAATACGGAGTATTATTTTTGCATTGCTTACTTCAATTTCATTGGGGCAAGTGTCTCCATTCAATATAACTTACATCCGCCCATGCGATTGGCAGTGATAATAGGCTCCATATTGTGAATGAGATAAAAAAAATTAAAGTATTCCAATTGAAAATATTCTTAATTACAAAGGTAAACATAAATTTGAGATAACTTTAAGTCAAATCAGTATTTAGCACATTTTAACATGGAATCTTGTTATTTTAATTTTTCCCACTTTTATTTTATGATGTTTTACTCTTTTTCCCATTTTAGGAATAATTTGGAAGTTGATAGAATTTTTTAAACAATTTTATCGAATTAAATAATTTTTAAAGGGTTATTTTTTCCTAGTGATACAATTATGCCATCCTGACATTTTACCTTCTACATCATTACTGAGTACTAATAGTTTTCTTTCTATCTACTTACTTCAACCATCCATTTTATTGAGTATTTTTTTCATTCCCTTTCCACTTCAGTTTCAAATTTTTCATTTCATTTCCACATTCTTATACGTAATTGAGATTAGAATCTTCACACCCTTATTTAAAGAGATTGTGTTAACTTATGACGGTTCGTCATTGCACAGAAAATGAATATCTGTGTGGTGATTGTAGTCGACTCTTGATTTGATTTCATTTGTGGTGAGCATCGGTATATATATTATTGATCTAATTCAAATATTAAATTATGTTAGTAGTTCTACTTCTTTCTACTTGTTGCGGATTTTTCAATTATGTTACTGATAGAGTATATGGGTCTAGACCCCATGGCCCACATACTCAGAGGTCAAAAACGCCAGCAGGACATCCACATGGTACGCTTCGGCCGAGTGGGGTCCACAACGGCCAGACCCGAATCAGCCCAGATTACCGCCTGGATACCAAGTGGGCCGCATCGACTCACGGACCGCATCGGACGAAGAGCACCTCATTGGCCAGGACTTATCCTGGCAGAATATACTTTCCTACTT